ATACCTTCCCCATTCTGAAACTACCCTTCATCAAAAAAGTACCCTAATAGAGGGCATTACACTTTACAACAAACTAGGCAATGATATCAAAAATATAAACACAATTCATACATTTAAAAGTAAATTGAAAGCTTTCCTGCTTAATAACATGTTCTACTGTGTAAAGGAATTTTCAAATTACAACATTTCCCTTAAAAAATATAAATAAATAAGAATGCCTTATCCCATTAGACTTTCTGTTTCATGTAAACTGTTTCGAGATGAAGCAAAGAAAAAAGAACTGGAATATTGCATCCTGTGAAACAGAAGAAGAAAAAACTGGTCAAAACTTGCAATGTAGTTGCAAACATAATTGATATGTATTGTTCCAATATTATTATTAATGTAATTGTTATTAATATAATTATTATTATAAGTAGTAGCATTAAAATCATCTTGAAATGTTTATTATTAGCAGATAAATTTTATCTACTGTATAATATCTTAATCTAAGCAGTCAACAAGTATTGGTATTTCCTAGGCCAATGACCCCATCTCGATCAGGTTTCGTTCAGTTTCTGGTCCTTGAGCAAATGCTGAGCATGACCCTTTGCTCTCGTGAACAGAAATTTAACTTCGCTCTCTTCACCCAAGGCATCATATTGACTCGTCATACACGATTGTAATTGTATATGTGACTCAATAAATATTATTAATATAGATATTATTAATTATTATTATTATTAATTTATTAGCAACTGGATTTATCCACTTTTTCGTTACCAGGCCCCGACTAAGACCGAATGGGATTTTTCTGACTCAAATTCGCCGCTTTTTCCCGTATTGCATAACTTTCTCTCTACTGCGTAAGCTGTAGATCTTAAAGAGAGAGAAAACAAAAACTGATGAGTTCAGAAATATTTGTCACATCTAATTTGTGAGCATGCATTTAACTAGTAGTGCTATATAATGGCATTTCCCGTATTACTTTTCTATTTCCTTTTTCTCAGCTGGCTATTCAGACTTGCCACGTACTCACGCCAGCTGACACTATCGCCGCTCACAGTACATTTCATTTTTTTTTTAATTATCTTAATTTTTCGATTTCCAAATAGTAGAACGGAAATATTATAAGAATATTAAAGAACCGTACAACCTCGTCCTAAATGTCAATCTTTGAAAAATTAGAAGCCGGTGTTACAAAAATGTTTTTTTAAGCGCTACCGTAAATTCGAAATTTGAAGCTCTTTTTCAAAAAAAAGTTTTTGAGTTTTCGAAAAACTTCATTTGGAATCGTTTGAAGCACATGAAGTCACAATAATGTTTACAGGTTACTGAAAATATGTATATTAATGGTGTGAGAGATCTTTCAGAAAAAATACATTTGTATACTTTCAGAAAAAACAAAAAAACACCGAAAAATGAATTTTTACGTCATATTAAAAACTGCAGTTTAGCACTATCCGTTTGAAAAGTTTGAAGAAAACAGCAAACATTTGGAGCCATTTATGAGAATATGGCGTTTGACCGTTTCTGAAAATGCAGAATTTTGAGCCAGTTTTCATAGAAAACTGTTTTTTGTTGGTTTTTTTTCGAGAAACTTTATTTGACATTATTTAAATCACTTGTACTCATAAATATAATAATGTGAACAAATCGCCGCTAATATAAACGGTCTGAGAGACTAGTGAAAGAAATTACATTTTTGTAATATTTGAACAAAGAAAAGTTTTGAGCGATGTGGTGTTTATGTCATCTTATGCAGTACATTTAGAACTATCTCCAAGAAAAGTACAAAGAATAAATTACGAGCCGTTCTTGAGGAAACCATGTCTTGTAATTTTTTGAAAGAAATATTGCACGCAATATTGCTTGAAAACTACTAAACTTTTTTTTTTAATACCTGACCTTATTGAAAGAACTGATTATGATCAACAAATTTATTTTGAAGGAAAAATCTCTATCTTTATTTTTGTAGTTTTAAAAGACGCCAGAGATAATTCAAACTTGAAATTTTCGAAAATTCAGAGTTAACCGTGAAAATCGTACATATGCAACCATTATAAATGAATTATACTCTATTCTTACAAGAAATATATGGAAACTAGTGATGCTATAGAATGGCACAGACTTTCCCGTATTAGTTTTCTATTTCATTTGGTCTCGGTTAGCTATTCGAACTTGCCACATATTCTTGCCTGCTGCTATTTATAGCCGCCCAAAGTACATTATTGACAATTTCTTAATTTTTTGTTATCCTAATTGTAGAGCGGAAATATTATTTTAAAGAACAGTAAAATCTCGTCCTAAATGGCATTTATCTTTTAAAACTTTAGAGCCGTTTTTAAAAAAACTGGCGTTTAAGCGCTATTGTAAATTCGAAATTTGAAGCCCATTTTCACAGAAAATATTTAAGTTTTCTAAAAACTTAAATTGAACAATTAATAAAATGTCTTTTCACTTCCATTGTTCAGCGCTAGTTTCTATGCTTGGTCGTTGTAATGTTCAATATCCATTCCATTCTTTAATATTCTTCCTCGCCGTTATCATTATATTTGTACAGCCATCTTACAAACTCTGAACTATGTCTTCATTTTTGATTACGTTACTAAAAGTTTACGAATATCACTAAAAAAATTATTTTACTATTTCCATATTCAATTTATAACTGTCCGACCTCATCCTTAATACTTAGCGGCACATTTAATTTTAGTCTGAAACTCAAAGTCCCTACGAGTCACGTGTTATACTCGTACGTACGCTCCCGCCACTTCCGGCTTTGACGATCGTCGCGGAAGACGGAGCGGTGGCGCGGCGTTCGGGGGCCTCGGAAACAAAATACTAAGGAGAAACCAAAAGCAGAGGACAAACACTTCGCTACTTCGATTTGCCCACCTTTCTTACTCTGGGAATTAAATAATGTTCCACGTAACTATCATTTCTACATATGTAATATTATGCGGGGAATATTAACCATTGTAGATATATATCTTTTTTAGTACGCCCTGAGAAGGGAATAAAATGTTCCAAAACGACGGCAAACTGAATGTTTTAATTTACTCCAACCAAATCCCGTGACCTCTATTTCCACTTTCAATTGCATGCGCGTGAATCTACAATTGTCTTAAATATATATATAATTATATATATAGTCACTATTATATATATATATATATATATATACATATATATCAAAAACATTGTACACCACCACTCTGTGGAGTACATAATTGGTACGAGAGTCCGTTCCAAACACGTACACTTCAGGCGAAGGCGACTTCCTGTGATACCTGAACTCGGCAACCTCAAGTCCGCCAACTGAATGTCTAATGTTTTAATTTACGCGCTCCAAATCCCGTGATACCTATTTCCAATAAGGGAAGTATTGTTATTCAAATTATCGATCTTCATGTTCTCGCGGCAGTAAATCGATTCCTTCACGAAAGGCACGATGAGGGATAATTGCCAAAATTCTACTGGTGATTAGCCTGTACAAATATTTATCTTTATGCCAAGGAATGATCGGCAATAAACATGTATACCAAATTATAACCGATGAAAATATTTATTTTAATATTTGTAACAATTTCTAGTAACCGTTTTGCCCGACGGGTTTTAATACTTCCGTCTTTATTGCCTGGATTGGCAGACTGCCCACACGGGATTTTTTTATTCTGAAAATTTCTTTCAAAAGGCAGCCATTCAGTAATAACATCAATAATATTTATTAAAACCAAAAATTAACTTAACATACCAGATAATCTTTACACAAATGCATACGTCATCGTTCAAATATAGATGTTATAAATATTTGCATCTGTTATCAATTGGAATAAATTTTTTGCCGCTAATTCCTGAGAATAGAGATAAGTATTATAAACACAATTCAACAGGGATGGTAAACAAATGTTTCAATAGCGTGCCCAAACATAACACAAACGTATAAATATTTTATTA